TTTTTTTTTTTTTATCTGACCTGTCACACACACACAATTAGGCAGCTTGTGAAGATGGCATGCGGTCTTGTTGACTTTTAATTGAATTGTCTCTTTGCTAGAAATGTACCTGCTGTGCAGCAAGTAGTAGGGTTTTACAATACTATGCGGATAGTAATATTTTAACTGTGCATTTTGGACTATGCCCATGTGCAGAGCCGTAACTAGGTATTTTTGCGCCCGAGGCAAGAATTTAAAATTGCGCCCTCCCCCAGGGCCGGCTCTTCGGCAGCAATTCGGCGGCGGGTCCCTCAGGCCCTCTCAGAGGGAAGGGCCTGCTGCCGAATTGCTGCCGAAGAATGAATGAAGCGGCAGCGGTAGAGCCTGTGATTTTGGGGGGCTCAACTCATGATTTTTGAGCTCTTGGGCTGGTAATGTTGCTTCCAAGATGGTCTTTGGTTCCAGTCCAGTTCCAATCCAGAGAGGGACTCACAGGTTAAGAGAGGAGGGAGGTGCTGCATATCAGCAGTGGCCACTAGGGATCAGTATGTGTCCTGAGAATGCTGGGAGTTCAGGTTTGTAGGGCAGATTCAGGGGTGGCAGGTTTGTAGAAATTTTGTAGACCCCCCCCCCGCCCAAGGCTCTGGGAGGGTGTTTGGGTGAGGGAGGAGATCTGGGGTGCAGGCCCTAGGCTGGGGCAGGGGATTGGGGTGTAGGCTCTGGGAGGGAGTTTGGGGATGGGAGGGGGTGCAGGGGTGAGGGCAGTGGGTTGTGGCTGCAGATGAGGGGTTTGGAGTGTGGGAGGGGCTCAGGGCGAGAGTAGGGGTGAGGGCTCTGTCTGGGGCTGGGAATGGGAGGTTTGAGGTGTGGGAGGAGCTCAGGGCGAGAGTAGGAGTGTGGAGGGTGAGGGCTCTGTCTGGGGCTGGGAATGGGAGGTTTGGGGTGTGGGAGGGGCTCAGGGCTCGGGCAGAGGGTTGAGGGTGCGGTGCGGGGGTGAAAGCTCTACTGGGGGTGTGGGCTCTGGGGTGGGGCAGGGCTGGGGATGAGTTTGGGGTCCGGGACAGGGGCCAGAGAAGAGGACTCCCCCCAGCCCTTTCCCTGCCGGCAGCAGCAAGCTCTGGGGGAGGAGCCCCCCTTTCCCGCCCCCCCCCCCAGCAGCACACTCACCCCCACCACTGTCACTGCATGTGCTCCTAGGGCCCCTCTCAGGTCCAGGAATCACCCTCGCCTCCCCCGTGGTGGGTGCCGGGGGGTGTTGCGTGCGCCTCCTCCCCTGCTGTTGCCCCTGACTGTAGCTTCACTGGGGATGAGGGATGGGGCTGCCTCCTTGCCCAGCATGGGGCAGGAGTGGTGACTGCAGGCGTGGGTGGGGGCTGTGCTGCTGGAGGGTCCCATTGGAAAATGAAAGGGTCTGAGGGGGAAGGGCAGGCTCAAGGTGTGGGGCACTAGGACCCTGCGGCAGGGAGGCAGCATGGAGCTGCTCTGCTCCAGGCCAGGAGGGGGGGGGGGGGAAGCAAGTGGGGGCCGGGGGACACTCGGGGGGGGCATGGGGGGCGGCAGGTGGGGTCAGGGGGGAGATCACCTGGGTTATAAATATCTCTGTGCCTGCCAGGAGCTTTTTTTTCCCCTTTCTCTCCACCGCTTTCTGCGCCTCACCCCCCCCCCCCGCTTTGTGTGCCCGAGGCAAGTGCCTCACTCGCCTCGCCCTTGTTACTGCACTGCCCATGTGCCACTTACGAGAATAATGTGTGTGTATTTATACCTACACAGTGGGGATACTGATGAACTAGCAATACAGCAGATTTTACAATCCCGTAGCTACACCTCTACCCCGATATAACACTATCCTCGGGAGCCAAAAAAAACTTACAGCGTTATAGGTGAAACCGTGTTATATCGAACTTGCTTTGATTCGCCGGAGTGCGCAGCCCCGCCCCCCGGGAGCATTCCTTTACCGCGTTATATCCAAATTCGTGTTATATCGGGTCGCGTTATATCGGGGTAGAGGTTTACTTCTGAATTTTTTATCAGTATTTTATCTCCTTTGATTTTTTCCCAACGAGACCTGCTATCTGTTCAGTTAACCTATTATAATCTTTATTAACTACAGATAAATACCAGACAAATAAAAAATACAAGAGGTTATCCTCTCTTACACCAATACCACCAGGTGTGCATACTCTCTCTCTCATGGTAGAAAGTTTTCCAAAAGTCAGAAAACTGATCTACAAATTCTCTAGCCATTACTATTAATTATATGCTGTTTCAAGTCACTCCGCTGATAGGTGGAAGTCTTGATTAAATATAAGTGTACTGTATTCCTATTGTGTCCATACACATTGTAAGAGTTTCACTACAGTTCTCTATTGACAAAGACAGTGAAAGGGAAACATAGACCAGGTGATTTTACTACTGCACTTCAGTATATGCACACATTCAAACTGAACAATTCCAATTACCTCTCCAGAGCTGAACACAGAGTGATATCAGTGATCAAATTATTTCCAGGAATCATCCAATATGGCAAAAACAGCCTTTTGATCCTTTAGGAATTTTGGCACTGAATGTACACCTCTACCTCAATATAACGCTGTCTTCGGGAGCCAAAAAATCTTACCGCGTTATAGGTGAAACCGCGTTATATTGAACTTGCTTTGATCCACCGGAGTGCACAGCCCCGCCCCCCCGGACCACTGCTTTATCACGTTATATCCGAATTCGTGTTATATCGGGTCGCGTTATATCGAGGTAGCGGTGTATTGTTAACCCAGGCTCAAAATGGATTAAACTTTAGTTAAGGTATAAAGACTTTTCGGTTGTACCAGCCGGGTATTCATCATTTGCAAGTCTAGTACTCCTGGTTGGCTAAAATAACAATATAATTTTGTTTCCTGTTCATTTGTTTTCTCCTTGCTCCTATGCAGACACTACTAAAACAGGGAGTCTCAGTCACTTGATTTCATTAAGCCTGGAAAAAGGAGATAACAATTTTGGCACTAAAGCACTAGACTATAAATAGAATGGTTGATTCTAATTGAGAGTAGTTCTAAAATAAGAAAATACAGAAGAGCTCCTGATTAGTAAGTTAGTGATCTCAGAGAAAGCTATTTAACAGATAAGAAGCTTGCCATTACTGTCATAATATAGCATAAAACAACCAAGAAAAGGGGAGAATTACTGTTGCAAGTGTCCATTTCCAAAATCCCATTTGCCTTCCCCCCCCACCACACACTCTATTTTGCAATTAATTCTTCCTTCAGACTAAAGTTTAGAACACATTTTGCTTACATTGCGATAGTCACATTCAAGTAGACAGTTCCAGCACTGTAAACAAAATCATCCCCAAACCATCCTCTCAACTAAGGGCCTAATCCTAATCAACTCCTTTGATTCCCATGAGTGAGAGATGAAGGAGCACAGAAGTCTTGCAGGAAGGGCACAGCACCTTTCAGAGTTGTGCCCTAAATTTCCACGTGTGT